CCTCGGCCCGGGGGCAGTTAAACCGCGGGAGCCATTTCCCCGGCTACAGCGGTCCCAGCCCCTCCAAAGCCCCCCAGCAAAACCTGGTAAGAAAAAAGGACACGGGTGGCAGTGAGAGCAAAATGGTTGGCAGACCTCTCCGGGCATCCATTACTCTTCTCCCCGGAGTTTGGTCGACGTTTCGTCCTGGGGCTTTTACGACCAATTTCAACATACTCAGTTCACCGCTATACCGAGTGGCCATATGCTACCGCTAGAAAAGATCTCGCTCTCGCTTTCTCGAAAAGCAGAACTAAGAGTCCTTTATCCTACCCTACTTTGTAGCAGGGTTTTAAGGCAAATTTTCTTTAATTCGAAGTTTATCAAAGCCGCAGGCGGGGTGCGAATGCGATCATTTCAATGTTTTTACTTTAACTATATGCCACACACTATTCGGAGTGGAGTGTCCTGCCCTCTGAAACTTGGAAGTAAGCAATACATTTCGATGCAGTGTAGCAGTTACAGAAGCACCTAGACCCGTGGTTCTCAACCTTGGCTGCACATTGGAATCACCTGGGAATCTTTTTAAAATCCTGATTCTGGGCCTCATCCTCTGGAAATTCTGTTTCTTTGTTATAGGGTGAGGCCACAACATTAGTAACAAACAGAATTTCCGGAGGAGATGAAGCCCAGAAATCAGGATTTTAAAAAGATTCCCAGGTGATTCCAATGTGCAGCCAACGTTGAGAACCACTGACCTAGACACTGTGGAGGAAGGCAGGCCGCGGTAGAGATCTCTGAGCTGCCTTTTTAAAGAGTAATAGGCGCTCCCAGGTAGGAAAGTCAGGGGCGTGCATTTTAGGCAAATGCTAACCATATCTGCAAAATGTCGAGGGTGACGAAACAAAGACGAAGCTGGAGAGGTGGCTATGTATGACGTTATCTTCCTCCCCCTTCTCCCCAGCAAAAATATTTCTCCAAGATCTCGATGTTAGAGATAAAAGAAGGAACACAAGCCTAGTGGCCTGTGATGTAGGACTCAGAGTCCAGTGCGGAGGTGGGGAGGGAAGCATACGTCAAACAAGCAAAAAAATATGTAAACATCGTATTAACTGTTGGAAGAAAATGGGCTGCCGTTGAGATTACTTCGGCCTTGGGGACAGGTGGTTTCACGGAGCAATGCTGAGAATTACACTGTAAACGACTATTAAGAACCGGACACTGGGCATTTTCACAACACTCATACGTCATAAACGTGTGAGCCTGTCCACGAGCGTCCGCGGCCTCGTGGGAAAGCTGGAGAGACGCGGCGCCGCTCCCCCGCGAGCCCCTAGGCGTGACGCCTGTGCAGACGTTCGCCACTGGAATTTAGGGAGGATGCCATGTTTCTCTCTCAGCCGGCCTCCGGAACTACTCACATGCCCGTTCTCCCGAAGACACCCTTAATTTTTAGTCTTTCAGCAAACTCACCTCATGTAAGGTTGCCTACCCCCACATAAATTAAAACAACAGTTTTTTCCCTCGGCCCCAGCTAGAGGATCTGGCGGGGGAGGACGGCGGAGGCCGCGCCTGCGCAGTACGAACAAAGGAGGCCAATCCCGAGTTGGGCATCACGCGAAGCCTGCCCTTCTTCCGGCGTGGAAGGCTGTACCATTCTCAGACCTAATCATTGTTTGTCCTAATTCACACGCGTGATTTTTCCAAGGTAACGTGTGCTTCCCTCAGCCACGGGAAGGTTCCTCTGCCCCTTAGCTATTGTGTAAGTGCTGTTTAGATCGTCGCGTCCCCGCAGGCCCCCCCCGCCACCCCCGAATGGTCTGCTCCAACCTCACTTCCGGTTCTAGGTGTTATGGCTGCCCCGAGAGGCTAGGACGACTTTGCGCCGGTTGTGCGGGGTCCGAAGCCCACGCCTGGGAAACCCCGCGAGGTAAAGCTGTGCCTTACTTGCGGAGGCGACAGCGTCTCGCGTGCCTGGAGATGGCGGCGTCCGGGAGCGGTATGGCCCAGAAAACCTGGGAATTGGTCAACAACATGCAGGAAGCCCAGACCCGCAAGTAGAGCCTCAGCCCCTCCCCCGGGGCTTTCTTCGTCCCCCCTTTCTGCTGCTTTAAGATGTTTGCCTCTGGAGGGCGGAAAAGGAAAACAAATGGTGATTCGGGGTGTCCCTTCTCAACATCCCTGTTGTGCTACATGCCACACACGCTGCCTTGAACCTGATGTCGATATGCACCTTGTGGGGCCCTTCGCTTGACCCCGGGCTGGATCCTGCAGCTGCCGGCAGGAGTGGAGCCGGCCCCGGGGGCTCAGGAGCCGCTTGTTAGGGTTCTGCCATTGCTGATAGTGATTTCAGAAACACACGAGACCTGCCCAGGCTACTGTTACTCCATCGGTCCACATGCACTAGACAGGAGATCGATGGAGCGAAAGGCCCCCGTGTCCCTGGGAATGGTGGCAAGTTGAGGATTCTCTACCTGAGAGCAGAATTGATTCGGAAGGGAGTGAAAAGCACAGTCTCTCTAACGGAGAGGTAAAAGGGAGAGCCGTGGTCAACAACAGAAACCATACTTCATCTGCCTCGCAGTTTTTTACAACTGTCAGTATTCAAATCCAGCAACGTTCATTGAGTACTGAATAGGGGCTGAGCGCTGAGCTAAAAACCTCATGTGTCATGTAATCCTCATGACAACCCAGGCAAATACAGTAACTTATTTCAATAACTTGTTGATTTTTCTTGTTCCCAGTAAATGCAAGAGCCCAGATTGTAATTCATGTCTTGACTCCCAAGACCAGGTCTCCACGTCTTCCATTTCTGATTGAAATCTGTGGGCAGACGTCTTAAAAAGGCTTCTCAGAGACATTGACTGACCACTTTCTACAGACTGGTTAGTTTGCCAGGTGGTCTGCCTGCTTCTATAGCAGGCTATGCATTTTAGGTTGATGCAGCCTATTAAATATTTGGAAACTCATCTTGCCTCACTGCCTGAGTGTGGCTCTCATTGTATTCATCCTAGCTGTCTTGGGCTACATCAGTGAGATGGCAAATGTAATTTTATTCAAGAGGACAGTGGGGCCTTGACTTACCAGATTAATTCGTTCGGAGACCGAGCTCGTTAAGGAGCTCATTAACTCAAGTTACTCTGTCAACTCAAAGTAAAAAATCGGAGGAGAGACAGCTGGTATCTCAAAAAACTCGTTAGTCGGGACACTCGTAAGTCCAGGCCCCACTGTAGTTTAGTCATATCCGTAGATGATAAAGTCTGAAATAATGATTATTGAAGAACTCAAGGTATTAGGGCTACATTTTTTATTTTGAGGCTGATACCACAGAGACAAGTTTAGTATGTGTCAGGCACTAAGACACTACGCACTTTATATACATTATTTCATTGAGTTTATTTCCTCCTAACAACTCTATGAAATACCCCTATTTACAGATGAGGAAACTGAGGCACCGATATTAAGTGGTTTCAAGGCCACAGTTAGAACTTGTCAGTGCAAGGATTCAACCCTAAGTAAACAGATGTCAGAGCCCACATTATTTTTTTTTTAATATATTTTATTGATTCTTTCACAGAGAGGAAGGGAGAGAGATAGAGAGTCAGAAACATCGATGAGAGAGAAACATCGATCAGCCGCCTCCTGCACATCCCCCATAGGGGATGTGCCTGCAACCCAGGTACATGCCCTTGACCGGAATCGAACCTGGGACCCCCCCAGTCCGCAGGCCGACGCTCTATCCACTGAGCTAAACCGGTTTCGGCAGAGCCCACATTCTTAATCACGAGGCCAGAGGGTAGGCCTGAGAATGGTTAGGCACAACCATCCAGCTAGAATCACAGAGACGTGCTGATCCCAGAATTAATGGGGGAAAAGGTCTTTTTGAACTGGTCATGTAGTTACTGATCTCTTTTCTGTTTGAGTAATGTATTCTAAAAAACTATTTCATACCCGTCCCTTGCCCCAAGAGGAAACATTTGTCCGGACTGTGACATGTTTATCATTTCCATCCCCCTGCAGAAAAACTCTGTCCTTTTCTACTTCTTTTTTCTTTCCCACATTTTACACTTTCCCCCGCTTCCATCACTAAATTTCTTCAATACTTACGCAATATCTTCAAACAAACTCTTTTGAAATTGTACTTTATGTAAGAAAGTTAATTACACTGTGCTTTTGTTTTGCAGTCACCATTACTTTAAGTACTGCAAAATCTCAGCATTGGCGCTCCTGAAAATGGTGATGCACGCCCGATCAGGAGGTAACTTGGAAGTGATGGGCTTGATGCTGGGAAAGGTGGATGGTGAAACGATGATCATTACGGACAGTTTCGCTTTGCCTGTAGAGGGCACTGAAACCCGAGTAAACGCTCAGGCTGCTGCGTATGAGTACATGGCCGCATATATCGAAAATGCCAAGCAGGTAAAAATGTTGTTCCTTCAAGTGCAGTTACTGCAAGTTAGAGAGTCTCATGGTGACTTTCGACTTTCTAAACTTAAAGCTGTCCTCTTTAAAGTTTATATTTTAAGTTATTTCAACAATTTCTATGTAAAATGTATGAGATTAGCATTAATTTTTTAAAAAATAAGTCCTCACACCCGAGAGAGTAGATCTTAAAAGTTCTTATCACAAGAAAAAGATTATAACTATGTGTGATGATGGCTGTTAATTAACACTTATTGTGATCATTTGTAGTATATACATATAGAATCATTACGATGTACACCTGAACTAATATAATATAGTGTTATATGTCAATTATATCTCAATAAAAACTTTTTTTCAATTCTCACATTCATTATCAGATGTGTGTTTAAAACCAAAGCCTTAGTAATAACCTAAATGTTGCTGAGTAGAAAACTGATTAAATAAGTTATGGTATAGTCATACAATGAACTGCTAACCAGCCTTTTAAAAAAATAAAATAGTAGTTATATATTTACTGATTTGAAACAAACCCCAGAATATTTTAAGTGCAAAAGCAAAGTGTAGAACACTGTATGTGATATATGCCATCGTGCATGTTTCTATTAATCTACATGTATACAAAGAATATCTCAGGGAGATAGGTATGTAAGCAGTTGGGTATAGTAGTAAAATCTGGGCTGAGAAACTGGATAGTTGAGGAGAAGGAGGTAGGAAGAAGACTGAATAACCTTTGTATCTTGTTAATTTTTTTTGTTTTTGGTATGTATTATCCAAAACATTTTTTTTTACTTGAAAGCAGCATATTCTATGAACTAATCTGCACATTATTATTTTACTTGAATGCTATGTAAACAGACAAATAAGTTTCTCTAAGATTAAGCAGGAACCTCAAGCTCCCTTGCCCACTTCATTTGTTAGGTTGGCCGCCTTGAAAATGCAATTGGCTGGTATCATAGCCATCCTGGCTATGGCTGCTGGCTTTCTGGGATTGATGTTAGTACGCAGATGCTCAATCAGCAGTTCCAGGAACCATTCGTAGCAGTGGTGGTAAGTATTTTTACAACCCATTTTAATTAAGTTCCTTACGGAGATTACTAAAGCACGTATAACGAGAAATAAAACTAGTGTAGTAAGAGCAAGGTTCTGGTGTCAGTCTGCCTAGGTCTGAGCCTGAATTCTACCGCTTAGAAACTGGGACTTTGAACAAGTTACTTCATCTCTCTGTGTCCCTTCCCCCTCTCAGATGAGGGTGATCCCAGCACCTGTGTCTCAGTGTTGATTGAAATGAGTACATCAAGAATTGCTAGAGTAGCTCTTGCTATGTTTAGCGTTCTAGATGCAATCCAGGCTACTATGAGGAAGGCAGGAATTAGTCATCTAAAAGAAAAAAACAATTTTGAAAAAGAGAAGCAAATCTTCAAATAATATTCTTAAATAATATACTAATTATATCTAATTTCTAAATTAGCTATAAGACATTTCTATACTTACCACTTCATTGAACTTTTATGTTCAATAGGTTTTTAGTTTGTTATTTTTTTCCTGTTATTTGATTATTTTAATTAGTGTGTGTGTGTATAGTGTTACATGTAGATATATATTTCTAGGTTTAAAGTGTTTAAACAAATGCAAGTATCTAATGATTTTATAATTGGCAGATATTAAATATATCCTTCTTATAGATTGATCCAACAAGAACAATATCTGCAGGGAAAGTGAATCTTGGAGCTTTCAGGACATACCCAAAGGTAATTTTAAAAATTACAAGTCAGTATAACTTTTTTTTTAATTAAATCTTTACTGTTCAGATTATTACATTTGTTCCTCTTTTTTCCCCCCATAT